TATATAAATAAATATTTATATATGTGTGTATGTATAGGTCAAAATTTCTGATTTTTGAAATGTGAAAGTTGTTTTGTTATTTTTGAAATAGGGTAAAGATAAAGTAGGAAAACTGAATTTTTCCCTTGATTTTTTTAATATTGAAACTAAATCTTAATAATACTTTTATCGAACATGTGAATGCCAATTTTGATACCCAATTCGCAACGTTGATATTTATCTGAAATCTAATTTTGACACTCGGGCTCAAAAGGAATGAACAAATTCAAATCACACGACCTATCATTCAACAAAGCCTCGATCCCAAAATTACCGTGTGACCCCTACTATACATCAGCCTTGAGATCGGCGTGTGACCATTCTCAAGGACCTCTTTGTGTGAATTGCCCACCACCTCTAGGATCAACAAAATAGTACACTGACGTAGCGTGAACATTAAGAAGAAAAGAGTAACGGTTTAAGTAAAATCGAGGAATTGGTGAGCTTTCATGCCCACAACTGGAGTGTGCAGTCGGAAAAAATTGTTGTACATAGATTCAAAATCTTTGTACCTAAAACCTGCTCGAGTCTTTTAGTTGAAAAACTTCCCTCATAGGTCTTTTAACAGCAACAAGTGAGTTGCACGAAACAACCAATTATATTGTCATATATATTGAAAACCAAGACGACTCATAATCAAGATTGCCAAGAACAAATAGCACAATAGTTTGGCATACTACAATCAACCCAAACAGAAAAAGCTGGATTAAGAATAGCAAAAGAAGCAGGATAGTGCTCTACATTACTCCCTTTGCGGGAACAAAGCAACAAGATCCACATCCTTCAAACGTAAGCATAACAATTTCTTCAAAAATCAACCCAAACAGAAAATGCTGGATTAAGAATGGCAAAAGAAGCAAGATAGTGCTCTACATTATTCCCTTCGCGGGGAACAAAGCAACAAGATCCACATTTTCCAAACATAAGCATAACAATGTCTTCAAAAATTAACCAGAACCAATTCAACAGAAACTGTTTCTTTTGAACAACAGCCAGTTTATAAGTACTCTTGCTCCTTTTTGTTATGAAGCAATCATTCTTCAAGAGATCTCCACACCATATGTCTTTACCATTTTATCAAGCATTCCTAGCACCTCTCCCATTCATGATATTGGGAGACCATCATTATTAATCCACTGAAACATTTTATCAATTTTCAGCCTCTTGCTCGTCCCTTGTCCTGCTCAAGGTGATGTATCAACCCGAGAAAAAACCGGAAGGGCTAAGTTTCATTGAGACAAGGCTAGATGAAATACAAGCCGGAACAAAACATAATGACTCCAACTCAGTAGTAAATGCAGAAAGCTAAAAACCAACTAAAATTTACATTTCCAAGGAATCCAAGACAACATGTCAAGTCAAATGCTATCCAAGTATCAAGTCCACATCTAGATTTAACAATTACCCAGGACACATATCATCATTGTGCTAAGAATTTGACATTATGAAAATGTAATCAACTACAACACGAAGATTCAATACTACAATCTGAGAATTAAAGACATTTACGGTGCATGCTACATGTAGAGTGTTTCAAGCAGAAGCCTTGAGGATCCCACTTGTCAATAAATCAGACTTCCAGCAACAGATCCTAATGCTAAGAGTTTTACCTTTATAACCTCACTTCTACTTGCAATTGTCAGAACTAAATTGGACTCCTCTCTTGTCAATGAATGACGTTTAACTTTCGGTCTGAGGCAGTTGTTTCTGAGGTGGCATGCCAAGAACATTTGTGGGCGCATTTACTTCCATCGACGCCAGCGTTTCTAGCTCTTGTAATGCACTTATTGCAGTTGCATTGTCTAAGCATGGTTTTACCACACTCACTGTTTGCTTGATTCTTGATTGCTGGCAATCAATTTGAGAACATGTATTCATTAGTGCATCAACACCAACTCCATTACAGGAGAAACCTGGAAAGCAAACAAACCACCACAACATTTATGCTGCTTACCAAATGTTCAAGTTTGCCTTTAAGATCTTCATAGGCCACTCGCTGCTGGGAATTGAGCGCTTGAGTCATTGTATCTGATGCATCCTAGCAACCAAAGACGAGCCATAGAAAAATATGAACTAGCACAGTAAAATTATCATTGCACCCAAACTCTTATCAATAGCAGCTATAACTTGTATGTGAATGCATGATTCAGATAAGCAAAATAGGGGTCAGGGCAAGGGCAGAAGAACAGTTCAATTGGGTAATTAGCTCCATATTTCTCCACTGTATGTGTCCTTAGCTGACTAGAAGATGATCAATGTATGGCCCTCACCACATGCACACTATTATTCTATTACGGCAAAATAATGTAGGCAATTAGAAAATCAGGATGTGGAAACAGAAGTCAAAAATAACTAGAAAGCACTGGTTACAACTTATTATAAACTCAAGTGTGTATCTTCTAAAATAAGTACTATGAATGATATATATGCTCTCTTGTGCACACTTGAATAGTATTATCTTTCCAGCTTAACCAATAATAATTATTTTCTATTTCAAGATAGAAGTAAATTTTGTTCAAAACTAGTAAAAATAAAAATAAAGAACTGACTACTATGACTGTAATAACAATAACAACAGCAGCAAATGAAAAGACTTATTTAAATCAATGAACGTGTTTCAAACTTTAGCCCTTGTTTGACACACATTCTTTCAAAACTTATTTTCAACCACACATTCTTCAATAAAATAATATTTTACATCACATCAATAACTTTTTTTTACTTTTTAACCACATATTTCTCATCGTATCACTATTTAAAAAACATTTTTTCCTCAATAATATCCATCAAACACCCCTTTAGAATGAATATAAAAGTAATGTAATTTTAATTCAACTGAAGATTGATTGATTTTCTTGTATTTTAATTGATTTTTTCTCTCAATGTTTTTTTTAATATATAAGTTCGGAAATTTTCAATTTTCATTATTTGGGTACATTTTCCATGTATTACTAGGAATTTGGAGTATACATAAGACAAGTATTTCTGAATAATGTTAATTGATTTATGATATTGAGTGATAGAGAAATTATTCTCCCTTTTCTCTCCCAAGTTTTTATTTCTCTCTCTTGTTCTCACTTCTCCTTAATATATCTTGTCCTGAATTGACATACCAGAATAGAATAGTTCTTCTGACGGATTCTTCTCAAACTTATAATCAACATTGTTTGTTTTTACTCTCATATGTTCCCCACACTCTTATTTATAACCAAGTCCATCACGCGGCAATCTTTATCTGAGGCACTTGGTTGAAGAGTCTTCCTATGTGAGTCGAGAATTTAAAAAGTAATTAAAATGTATTGAAACTTCAGTGTCGAGAATTGTAACTCAAGTACTAAACAGATAAATGGCAACAAGTCATAAAATGTAATCATCAAGAAACAAGAGTAACACAGTGATCAAGTGTGATATAAGATGTAAAATTATGCAGAGAACATGTATAGGATGACATGAATTATATCCCAACAATTATGTTATATATGCAGCCTTCATGTATGACAAAACATTCATGATCATGATGGAAGTGTAATGACTCAACTTAACCTTTGAGTCGTTTAAAAATATACCGTAAAAATAGACTTTCACGAAAGATAATTATCCTCAAAGTTACAATAATTAAAAATAAAACATATTCTTAATTATAAAATTTAATTTTAAAAAAATCCATAAATCATCTCCTCTTTATTATACCACCAGTGACCAGTTCCTAATTCCAATATCTCGAATCTCAATTATCTAAAAGGGGGAAAATCATAAATAAAGAAATAAAATCTCAATAAGTAAGCCACAAATTGTAATTCATGATAAAAATTTAGAAATTCTTAACGTATATAGGGAGACACGGGGATTAAAAACCGAACTTAGGTGGTCATATTCTCCATACACAATCATAACATACATAGGGAGACACGAGAATTAAGATCCGAACTTCGTGGCTATAATTCTCATGCGTAGCTCTAATAAGCTCCAATCATTTAAACTTAAACATATAGGACCCAAATCATATTCATAAATAGAATTCCGTATTTTAAAGTATAAAAAACAATCTAACATACGACGTATAACTACACTCACCTCGTAAATTTGAAGAGGGTTTCATAAAACATAAAGAACTTGACCTCAAACAATTGTTTATGAACTGTGTCAGTGTGTAGTGTGAGACAATCATAGTTATACACACACACATAGATTTACATAATTATAGTAATCATATAATTTAAATCAATCAATCATAATTACATATAATTATGCATACATAGACGTATGTAATTATAGTAATATTATAATTTAACTCAATCAACCATAATTATATATAATTTATACATATATAAACGCACGTAATTGTAGTAATCATACAATTAAATCAATTAATCATAATTATATATAATTATATCTATAATATTCACGTATATGTGATAGTTTATCTATTTAGAAATGAATCTTCCAAACTTATCTTTCATATATATAGATGCGCATAATTTTAGTAATCCTATAATTTAAATTAATCAATCATAATTATTTATAACTATATACATATATAAACACGTAATTATAGTAATCGCATAATTTAAATCAATTAATCATAATTGTTCATATAATTATATACATGTTGTAAAAGAAAAGTAAATTAGGGTTTAGTGTCAATGACACTTGTACCCCTGCAGCCCTAAATATAATTACCATATATATCCATATTTCTTCCCAGTAAATATAGGGCTTTGGTTCTCATTATAATATACAACAAATCTTTTGACTTCTCTTATTCTCTTCTCTTTTTCTCTCTTTTCATAACACGTTATCAGCACGAAATCTTAATTCTTCAAAATTTAGAGAAAGTAGTAATTTTTTTTTAAGAATAATCATCTATCACATGTACCTAAATTAATTTGGTAACATGTGAATTTTTTTTATAGACAAGACGACTGCTTTTTCTTCTCTATTTTAATATATGTGTACAAGCGTGAATAATTTGTTTACAACTCTGTCGCCGCTGTGCAATCATGTATATAAAATTTGGAATCTGGTTTCTACCATGAATAATTTGAAATCTTGTTTCTTGCCAATCAATCTTTGAATGCATTAAATTCTCTTTCTATCGCCACCACAATCAATTTGCGTTCTTCTGTGATTTTTCCTTTCTTTTTAAGTATTAATGAATTCAATTCACTATATTATCAATTTGTAACCTGTAATCACTAAGTTAATTCATGCAATTATGACTATGATTTTACTGTGCATACCTTTATGTGGATTGTACGTGGATTAATATTATATGGTTTTAATTAAACCTTGATATATTTACTCGTTGATTCTTTTTACTGTAGAGCACAATTTTAAATTCAAGTTATTGGATACAATAATATAGATCTGATTTGTAATTTCATAAGATTTATAAATATTCTCAAAGAATATTTTTTTGTTGTTCTCGAAGCAACACACCATTATAATTAATATTCCAGAAGAATATTAATCGTAGATCTATCTATTATATATAGTTTGTTGTTGCTCCTGAAGTAGCACAACATTATAATTAATATTCCTGAAAAATATTACTTACTCCTGAAGAGTATAAATTATATTTTTTTCACAAAATTTTGACACGTGGTTCCAGAAGAAACACAACTCTGTAAATATTATATTAGAAAATATACTCTTGAAGAGTTAAAATTTTCTAAATAATAATTTATTGTTGCTCCTGAAGTAGCATACTATTATTTATGTTCTAGTTATATTTCTCTTGCTCCTGAAGAGCATAATTAAAAATTATGTTTTTTATTACCGAAGAGTAAATTATTATGCAATTTATTATTTTAAATAATAATATGTTATTGCTCCTAAATAGCATGACACTACGCTTCCAATATTTAAAGAAAAAAATTGATATATTGCTCCAGAAGAAGCAAAAATTAATATATATTAGTATTCTTCAAGAATACTGTATTGTGTTCTTGAAGAAGCACAAATTTATAAATATTAACATTTTCGAAGAATGTTATGATTAATTTAAATATATCAATATTCCTGAAAAATATTGTTCTATTATTTGTGAATAATCATAACTAGGTATATATCAATATTCTAGAAGAATATTGTTTTGACATAATAGAAGAATCAATACTGCGTAATGTAGGAGAATAAAATTTTACTATAGATAGTATTCTCTACTAAATAAAAGAGAAACATGCTAAGTTTCTAAAATGTTGTACAATTAAAATAAATATTATATTGAACCAGAAGTTCAATTTGTTTGGCATGACCAGTTGGATCATCACTTGATCAATAATGATGCGAAATGAGAATTCTGGACATTTAACGAAGAACCAGAAGATTCTTTAATCCAAAGAATTCATATTTGATATTTGTTCTCTTTATTGAAAATTGGTCATTGATTGTTACTAGTTAAATAAAAATTGAATTTCCTATATTTTTGAAAATTAATTAGGGTGATATATGGGGCCTCGTCACCCTCCATGTTGACCATCTAAATATTATTTGTATCTAATAGATTTGATACAAATATTAGATGATTGCATGGTGTTCGCAACTTGAAGTTTGCGAAGTGCGAAAATGCTACTCAAATTATGAGTATAATTTTCAAATTATACAATTAAGATAGTGTCTTTTTAATACTAGTGGTCCTAAATCTCAATTTTTTAATAAGTGTTAGTTGAGATGTCGATAAATAGTTTAACATTATTGTTTGTTAAACACCTCCTATTACTTCTCATTTCAGTTTAGGGAAAGTTATTACGCATCATGCAAATATCATAGTTCTCCTAATTATAACTTGGCTTATGGTCAGAGCCTAATTTTTCCATCAATTTATTTCGATAGTGTATGTAAAATTGATCCACTACAATGCACTGAGATGGAAACTAAAGAATGCTGAGAATAAATGCGTAGTTTAAACCCTTATTTCAAATGGGTAATATTTTATAACGTTGGAAAAATGAATGTCAATTGATATGATAATTCTCTCAACATTAGGGGAAAGAAGTAAGAAGTTTAAAATAATATACAAATGCATCATTATCTTTCGAACCCGAAGTTCGAAAAATAATCTCACACATCGGTTTTAAATGCTGCAGCTCGAACTGACTCTTGAAAGGACAATTCGTTGACATTATATTTGATAAATTTATGGCACGCTTGAATCGTGATAATATTCGATTCTATTACAAAATCCTCCCAACGAAAATGGAGCAATTGGTAAAGATGATCTTATTAAAAAGGAATATACTTTTAATGAGTTTTTAGACATAACATATTATAAAACCCCAAAAGAGGTTCAAGTACCTGAAATTATGAAAATTGATATATCTCAATAAGTTATGTCATTATGGAAAAAGAAAAAGATAAGAAAAAGCTGTCGACAACACTTTTGCACATAATATATTGCATCTTATTATTAATAGCAAATGAATCTTGAATACGCCAGAAGCGTGGTCGGCCAGTTGGTTCAAAAAACTTTGTACCACAAAAAAGAAAAATACAAAAGAAAAACCAAATAAAAACTTCAGAAGAAGTAACATTAGAGAAAATTGATCAATCAAATATTGAAAATATGATTCCTGAAGAATCACAAGTATCCGAAAATAATGAGATTTCAATAAATTATATGTTATCTCATAAATTATGGGAGCGAAGTAATGTTGTTATAGAGAATATTTTGGCCTTTAACGTAACTCTTGATATTATGCAAAATGAAGATCTAAACCACTATCTGTTAAAGACTGTCAAAATAGAAATGATTGGCCAAAATGGAAAGAAGCCATACAGACGAAATTGAATTCCTTGGAGAAACAAAAAGTGTTTGGACATGTAGTTCGAACACCTGAAAATGTAATTCCTGTGGGATACAAATGGGATTTTGTACGAAAGAGAAATGAAAATAATGAAATTACAAGATACAAAGCGCCGACTCGTAGCTCAAGATTTCTCACAAAGACCGGGGAATTGAATATGAGGAAACATATTATCCCGTAATGGACACCATCACTTTTAGATTTTTAATTAGTTTGACTGTGTCCAAAAGCTCGATATGCGCCTTATAGATATAGTGACTGCCTATTTATATGGTTCACTTGATAGTAACATATATATGAAAGTCCCTAAAGGACTTAAAGTGCGAGAAACAAATGATATATGTCTGAGAATCATGTTTTCAATTAAATTGCAAAGATCATTATATGGATTGAAACAATCCTTACGCATGTAGTATAATCGTCTTGGCGAATATTTGTTGAAAGAAGGCTATAAAAATGACGATATTTGCCCATGTGTTTTCATAAAGAAAACAAATATTGGATTTGCAATTGTGGTAGTTTATGTTGATGACTTAAATTTAATTGGAAATTCTGAAAAGCTCAACAAAACTGCAGATTATTTGAAAAATGAATTTGAGATGAAAGATTTCGGGAAAACCAAATTCTGTCTCGGGTTGCACATTGAACATTTCCCAAAAGGATTATTTGTTCATCAATCTACATATACAGAAAAAGTTTTGAAACGATTTTATATGGATAATGCACATCCATCGACTTCACCTATGGTTGTTCGATCACTTGCAATAAAAAAAATGATCATTTTCGTCCACTTGAAGATGGAGAAAAACATTCTTGATCCTGAAGTACCATATCTTAGTGCAATTGGAACATTAACTTGCAAATTGCACTCGACCCGACATAGCTTTTTCAGTAAATTTCCTTACAAGATATATCTCTACACCAACACAAAGACATTGGAATGATGTTAAACATATATTTTTTGTTACCTAAACGGTACTATTGATTTAGGATTATTTTATTCTCAAAAGTCGGGATCTGCTTTAGTGGGATATGCAAATGCAGGTTATCTCTCTGACCCACATAAAGCAAAATCACAAACAGGATACGTGTTTACACGTGGAGGTAGGGGTGTCCAAAAGTCCCGGACCGAACCGAATTGAGTGGTTCTTCATAAATTAAATACCCGAACCGGTACCCGAATCGAGAACCGATAGGTTTGGGTCGGGTCTCGAGTTTAGATCAAGAACCGAATAACCGAATAAGAACCGAAATTAAATAATTTTTTTATTTTTTATATTGAATTAATTAAATTATTTTATTTTTTCTATACAAATTAGCAAATTAATTAAATAAATCAGATTATTTCATAATTTTAATTTTAAAGCCCAAATCATTTTTCAAATCCGTTAGCCCATTTTAATTTGAAGCAAATAAATATACTTTATGTAGTTTTGCTGTAATATTAATATCTATATTTTGGTATTTGTATGCATTGAGTTAATCTTATTCGATGGCTAGTTATTTATATGTTTTTGAATTGGGCTACGTTAATTTGTAAAAGTTACGAATGAAATGTCATTAGTTGTATTTATGTAGTGTTGCTGAAAATATTAAAAAATTTAATTATGATACGGAACCGAACCGAACCGAACCCGAACAGTTCCATAATTATATTTGGACCCGACAGATCTATTTATTAAATACCCGAAAGTTTTGGATCGGTTCGGATCTCTTCAGAACCGAACCGACCCACGGACAACCCTACGTGGAGGAACGGCTATATCATGGAGATCTGTGAAGCAATCATTGACAGCAATATTCTCAAATCATTCTGAAATTATTGCAATCCATGAAACAAGCCGAGGATGTGTATGGTTGAGAAACATGACCAAGCATATCCAGGCATCATGTGGATTAATTTCAACAAAAGATAGTCCAACAATTTTGTATGAAGATAATGCTGCTTGTATTGCACAACTCAAAGGAGGTTATATCAAAGGTAACAGGATGAAGTATAGTTCTCCACAATTCTTTCATACACACGAGCTTCAAAAGAATGGCGACATCGAGATTCAACAAATTCTGATACCATTTGTAACGAATCAAAACTTACCCTTTGAGTCATTTAAAAATATATCATAAAAATAGAACTTTCATAAAAGATAATTATCCAAAATTTACAATAATTAAAAATAAAACATTTTCTTAATCATAAAATTTAATTTTTTTAAAAAAATTCATAAATTATTTCCTCTTTATTATATCACTAGTGGCCAATTCCAAACTCCAATATCTCGAACCTCAATTATCTAAAATGGGAAAAATCATAAATAATGAGATAAAATCTCAATAAGCGAGTCACATAAATAGTAATTCATATTTAAAATTTAGAAATTCTTAACGCACATAGAGAGACATGGGGATTAGAACCAAAACTTAGGTAGCTATAATCCTCATACATAATCATAACATACATAGGGAGACACGAGAATTAAGATCCGAACTTCGTGATTATTATTCCCGTGCGTAATGCTATTAAACTCCGATCCTTTGAACTTAAACATATATGACTCATATCATATTCATAACTCGAGTTCCGTATTTTAAAGTATGAAAAACGATCTAACATACCACGGACGACTACAATTACCTCGTAAATTTGAAGAGGATTTCATAAAACACATATGAAAGAACTTGAACTCAAACAATTCTTTATGAACTGTGTGTAGCATGGGTCAATCATAGTTACGCACACATATATAGATGTATATAATTATGGTAATCATATAATCTAAATCACTCAACCATAATTACATTTAATTATGCATACATAGACGTATGTCATTATAGTAATATTATAATTTAACTCAATCAACCATAATTATATATAATTATGCATATATAGACGCACGTAATTGTAGTAATCATACAATTAAATCAATTAATCATAATTATATATAATTATATCTATAATATTCACGCATATGATAGTTTATTTATTTAGGGAGGAAACTTCCTAACTTATCTTTCACATATGAGGAAATATACTTAATTTTCACAATCAATCATAATCATAAATAATTATATACATATATAAATGCGCGTAATTATAGTAATCCTATAATTTAAATCAATCACTCATAATTATATACATATATAGATGTACGTAATTATAGTAATCATATAATTTAAATCAACCAATCATAATTATACATAATTATAAACATATATAGACACACGTAATTATAGTAATCACATAATTTAAATCAATCAATCATAATTGTATATAATTATACATATATAGACATACGTAATTATAGTAATATTATAATTTAGCTCAATCATCATAATTATATATTCACACACAGACATATATATTCATATTATATACACATATATAAATATTCATATAATATATATAAGCCTTGTATGGAAGGGATTAAAATCGGATTAAAATTGAAAATATAGCCGTTATTGTTAGACTTTTATTAGATGAGTGGGACCCAATAACGGCCATATTTTCAATTTTAATTGAATTTTAATCCCTCCCGAACGGGGCCATAGTTAGGAAACTGTACTTGCAGTCCCTCAACTATTGGCCAATATGTAATTTTATTCCCCAACTTTCATCATCTTGCACTATGGTCCTAATTTTCATAATTAATGACTATAAAGTATTTTTGGGCATTATAGTTTTCACCTATAATTGAAGGTTCCATATATACCTAAGTTCATTCTATTGTTAGTTGCAACTCTTTTCTCTCGGAAAAATGAGTACTATATTTCTTAACAATCATTAAGAGATGAAAAAGGTTGTGCAAGTCCTAATGTTTTTGAACTCTCTAATTACCAAATAAGATACAAGAACTTGTGTTTACCTTCTTGGGCCTCCCCAAAGGTTTTCCAGATAGCTTCCTGGGCTTCTTGGGCTTCACAGTAGGCAGCTTCAAGGGTTTCTTCGCCTCACCACCTGCCTTTGGTGGTCGTCCTGGACTCTTCCGCGCAGCCGGTGCAACTCCTCCAGAACCCACTGCTAATGTAGCACCAATAGGCATCCAAACAGAAACAGGTGCCACGATCCCACCAACTGCCGCAGGTTGAGCAACTCCAGCAACCACATCCTTAGGCTTTGGAGGCCTTCCACGTGGCCTCCCGGACCCCTTCACCACACCAGTAGCCGCAACAGTCTTCTTTGACTGTTTTCGAGCAGTCATTCCAGTCACAACAGAATGAGAAGAATCCCTCTTGGGCCTCCCCCTGGACCTCTCAACACCACCTGGCTGAGCCCCCAAACTCTTTGGCGGACGACCACGTCCCTTCTTTAGCCCACCTTGGTTCGCCCCACCCTGCTTAGGCGGACGGCCGCGGCCTTTTTTCTTTCCATCTCCAGCACTAGAAGCATCACCATTTACAGAACCAACTGGAACGTACACACTCCCTGGCCCAATCGCCACGTTCAATTCAGTCTCCGGAACAACAATGGGCACAGCCTGATGCGCTTCATGAGCAAAAACAGGTATAACATTCGGCACATCAGCGTGAGCATTCTTGGGGGGACGACCAGGCCGTCTTTTGGGCACAACAGTAGCAAGATCAGAAATGGAATTACCATTTACATTGGGAGTAACAGGTACAGTAGTAGATCTAGGAAGCTTATAAGAGTTCTTCACCATGAGAACCTGACCATTGTTCTTCAACCGTTTCAGATGGTTAGTCAACAGCGCCGAGTGACTAGGTGGCAGGTTCGAGTAATGAGTCTCTATGTACTTAGCTATAGCCCTTTTGCTCGACCCATTTCTCTCCTTCAAAGCCCTAATTGCGGCCTTTATCATCTACCCAGACGACAACAATGAAACAGCAAAATTAAACACAAAAACTTACAAATTATGAAAAATCAAACAAAGGGCGTTTTCCAGTTAATCGTACCTCAGCATAAGGAGGATGGTTGAGGGAGGGAGCTTTGGTTGGAGTTGGGTTCGCTGCAGGAGCTATGTGGGCTACATCAGTTGAGTCAATAATTGGAGGTGGTGGATCCATAGATGGCTCCATGCATATATAAAAGAATTTATCTGTACGACTGTATGTATATGTAGAGAGAGAGAGAAATTGAAAAGTGAAAGGGAAGAGGCAGGGGAGGAGACTATTAGGATTAGGATGAGTAGGTTTGGGTGGGGGAAATTGTGTCTTTATCTGCCACATTTATTGCACTTCATCTTTTTTAACACCGTTGTTTTTTGAAAATTGGGTTGAAATTGAAGGGTTTAAAATCTTTGAAATTTCAAATTGCTTTTATCATCTTTAATTTAATTAGTTATCGATATTTTCCAAATTTTTTAGTCGTCCTCTGTTCCATTACCTACAATTTAGCTGGTTCCCCTTTTTCTCCATTAAAATTATAATTTATTTATTATTAATTTTATATTTTCTAATAAAATAATATTACGCGTAATTTCAAAACAAATTCTTCTTTTCCAACCATTCGTGGAGTGTGTTTGGTAGAGATTAAAATCGAATTAAAATTGAAAAACTAGCCGTTATTGTTGACTTTTATATAGAGGATATAGATGTACCCCTATACTTTGCATAATTGCATTATATGTTCTAGGTTTTAATGTTGTTTTTATGTTCGTATCTTTCATAGAGATATCTGAACATCACATGAGATGATAGATTTAATTCTATTCGAGAGAGATTATTAAATAATTTAGGAATATTGATCAACATGAATTAATACATATTGTCATAATAACAATTTACATTAAATTGGATTAATAAGGAGGATTCAAAGTCGTAGTACACCTAATTTTACAAAATCTTTCGTAATTTGCTCATTAGACACTTAGTTTAAATAGTTAATTAGCCCCTATTCGAGGCCTCTTTTTTGGGATAAATAGATTTTATAATAATGATTTTTAAAAATTATGGGAAAAGTTTTGATTTTACTTCTAAAATTATTTTATAAGAGAATATGTGTTGAAAATAAGTTTAAAATTGTGTTTTTGAAAAATTGGGCTCAAATAGGGGCTTAGTATAATTTCTCCGTACAAATTTGACTATTCGATTAGAGTTATCATTATTTGATACTAGATTACATACCTAGTATTCGTGGGATTGATAATAACTTTATTACTTATCTACAATAACGTGCACTTCTGAGATTTCGTGTGATCAATGCACAACACGGGCATGAATAAATAGTTGTCGATTTGTTGTAATACATCCTCTAAATCGACAATTTATTAGGGCTTTTTGGGTTAAGCTCCTGTTTGATTTAGATCAAATCAGTTTTTTTATTAGATTTTGATAATATTTGATGAAATATGTAATTGAAAAGTTGATAAAAATCTCAAATCTCATAGATTATGTATGTATGTATGTATGTATATTAGGACTTCAATTGTCTTTATTTTTTTTCAACTAGTTAAACTGAGTTGAAATAGAATGTTTCACACCTTTAACCAAGTTTTGAAATGTCAAATTGCTCTAACCATCTTTGTTCCATTCATTAATGTAAAACTGCCTGATTTTTGTGACCTCGAAGTTATAGTCGTCCTCACCTATTATATTCAATCCAGCAGTTTTTACACAGGCAAAGATTTGTTGTTTGTTTGAAGAAAATATATTCGTAACCCACTTTTATTAACTACACAATATAATAATTAAAATAAGATCTTTATTTTTTTCCTTTTTCGCAGTATATACTCAACTTTTTTTCATTGTATTTTAATCTTAGCCCTATTTCAATTAGCACATCTTATTGTTCTTGATGACGGTCAAAAATTTCGTTAGGATGGAGTAAAAGAATTAATTTGCCCAACATATTTTTAAATAAGCAAGATATACCACAAATACATAAGTTCGACAAAATATTTTCACTACTTTACATAATATTTGGACAAAAAAATCATTATCAAAGAGATGATATATTAATTAATTGAAGATGAAACATTAAATTGTGAAAAAGAATCTGAAAAAATTAGTACAAAAATGAGCAAAATATGAGGATTTTCAGAAAATAAAAGTTTGGTACAATTAACAAAACCTATGACGTGAATATAACTACCATTTAATTAAATGAAAATTCAATTTGTTATCTAATGTAATAAAAATATCGCTCAAGTGATGCACAACTAGATCGTGATGAAGCTGTCGCTTTCATTGCAATTCAATATCTTAATTTGCAATTTATTGGGGTTTGATTCCAAGATAGATAAATCTGATTAGACTATGTTAAAATTTGTTACGGGTTTTCCAAGTCATCTCCCAAGCCCTCCGTGTCACATCAAGCAGACAAACTGAATACGATCGTCAGGTGGCGGATGAACTGAATTCATCCTCCATGTGGCGACGAACTGATTTCACCCTTCGTCGCATGTCGGACGAACTGATTTTGTCTCGCCACATGGCGGACGAACTGATTTCATCCACCACCCCGACGGATGCTAAGGCCCGAATGTTGCATCACTTCGTTGCAACTAAAACTAAGTCCGAAGTAATGACATCCAAAACGCGATTATCACTCCTGCCATAACCACTCTACTTCAACCCTATGTACTAGAAGATCTTTTATGGAAATATCTCAAGAACCAAATCCTTAGGACTGATGATGGGACGTATGACAGACTCCAAAATGTCAAGTCACGCATTACTGTGTCAACGCATTAAATGAATCGCACACGTATGGAATGACACCTATGAGAGGACTGCCCTAGATTCAGAGTCACGTGTTCCAGATTCAATGGTTATTCTCTTATTCCCTTCTCATTATAAATATCCACACTCGCATTATAAAAGTGAGTGGTCCCTGAAAGAGAGAAGAAGCATATGTTTTTACATTATCACCATCCATACGTACACCACCACTAAAAATCACATTCCGGTGAACATTATCGCTGGACGTCCCAGATTCTGTCTATCAACTCACTAACTTAATCGTTGTAGCGCTCGCGGCAACTTCCACCCCCACCAAAAAAGGCCACGAGCGATTAACAGTGTATTGCTATGTGTAGGAAGGAGCTCATGTGGAAGAATTCTGTTGGTCACGTGTTTGGGTCATTTTTCGAGATCAACAGATTAACACCGTCTATGGAAAATGTCACTATAACCACGAGCATTCCTATAAAGAAAAAGCTTATCGAAATATTCACCGGCCTCCCCCCATGAAAAATGAGTTGTTCTTGAAGAAAGAACAAGCGGATGCCCCAAGGAAGAAAGTTGAAGTGTTATTAATTACCTTTTGAAAGGAAGTGTGCAAGCACAAGAACAATGAGTTCAAGCAACGAATATATGAATCCAATGAGTAAGGGAGGTTTCTAAAGAATCCGAAACAATATCATTGACCAAAGGCCTCATCACTGCCATCGTAGGGACGGAAGAACTGCGGTACGATTAACTGTTGAGATAGCCCATATGGGCTACCAACATGAGAAGTCATGGGTAATCCTTATATTCTATCATAAGGTTGGGACCTTCTCTTGTTCAAAGGCTCCATATCATCTCAATTGCTCAAGACAGCATTTTGGAGACATCGTTCCTTAAATAAAAGAAGATGCGGTATTTTGGAATCCTCATTCCTTTATAAAAAAAAAAGGAAGAGGCAAATCGTTAGATGCTTATTCTTAGCTTTGCGAGATGATTATTCATCTCCTTTCACAATTGTTTATCCGAGGCTGCCAATACTTTTTCCTTTTGAAGCTACTTAGTATATTTCGATAGTTCGAGAGGAGCCAACAGTTTGATATTCATTCCTCGCTTTTCGAGATGTCCCACCATACGGATGTTGCAGTGCAACTGTATTTATCTTTAGAGAGCTCCTTAAACCTGTGCTTCAGCTATATTTCAGTGGCATCTATCTTCAGAGAGCTTATCGCGCCTCTACATCAAATGCACCCCAATCAAAGGTGCCTTGCCAGTCAACTATTCTCCTAAGCACACCCACTTAGTCGACCCGCTATTTATAATCCCCTCCATGGGAGTACCATCCACCATGGAGAAAGCATTTGACGAGGTGCGTGATGCCTCCTACGAGGTCACCTTTTTCAATGATGTCCACTTCGACCGATGGGCACGTGATACCCCCACTGGGGTCGCCTCTGATTTCATCGAAGATGATGATTTCCATGGATGCACTATCCAGTGCGTGATGCCTCCCACAAGGCCACCTCTATTAAGGATGTCCACTTTTTTAGGATAGACACGTGACGCCCCCACGGAAGTCGCCTCATTTTCCCTTCAAAAGTGATGCTTTCTACGAATACACCATCCACCATGGAAAACACCCTGGAAGAGGTGTGTGATGCCTCCCACGGGACCACCTTTGTCAAAGAGAACAAAAACAAATAGACTTAGTTTAATTTTAGATGGCTTTTTAAATATCCATTTATTTTTAAAAAAATTCCTCCTCCTCAAATTAATTCTTTCACCCCACCATTATAGCTTCTTTCCCCACTTCTTGCTACAATCTTTTCTCATTTTATAGCCTCCATACTATCTTTTTTCCTTGCCTTGCATTCACCAATATCTTATCTCACTTCATTTTCATAACTTGAGAGCAACCAAGCAAGGCAAATTTTTAAAGAAATTACAGGGTTTAATTGATTTAATTTCTTGTTTTTGTGCTCTCATTTTCAGACATCGTTTAATTTTATTTTTCCAACCGGTGAAAGTTGTGTTGAATTTAAAGGTTGTTAGAATTCAAACAAGAATTATGTATATTGGTACCTTTATTAGGAATAGAAGAAACGAGATTACATGACATATATGAAGTAGCATTCACAAAATAAGAACAATGGGTAGAAGAATGAATAATTTATTAATATGAAGAAAGAATATACAAATTGTGTTTCTAACTTGATTCTAACTCATATAAAGTCATATGAAAGACATACAATTTGTGGACTATATATAGGATCCAAAAAACATGATACAGTTGGAAAGATGATCGAAAACCCTGTCAAAGAAGGAAACAAATTTTCTCCAAACATATATGCCGCTTGAGCGGCGCCTCTCGCTAGGCGAGCGGTATGGCATGGCGCTTG